TATATAATGGGAAAGTATCTGTACAGAATGGGAAAGTATCTACAGAATGGGAAAGTATCTGAATGGGAAAGTATCTGTACAGAATGGGAAAGTATCTGTACAGAATGGGAAAGTATCTGGATAGTACAGAATGGGAAAGTATCTGTACAGAATGGGGAAGTATCTGTACAGAATGGGAAAGTATCTGTACAGAAAGTATGATCTGTATAGAATGGGAAAGTATCTCTACAGAATAATGGAAAGTATCTGTATGGGAAAGTATCTGTACAGAAAGTATCTGTACAGAATGGTATATACAGATATTTTCCCATTCTGTAGAGATACTTTCCCATTCTGTACAGATACTTCCCATTCTGTACAGATACTTTCCCATTCTGTACAGATACTTTCCCATTATATACAGATACTTTCCCATTCTGTAGAGATACTTTCCCATTCTTTCTCATTCTGTACAGATACTTTCCCATTCTGTACAGATACTTTACCATTCTGTAGAAATACTTTCCCATTCTGTAGAGATAATTTCCCATCCTGTAGAGATACTTTCCCATTCTGTACAGATACTTTCCCATTCGCTACAGATACTTTCTCATTATATACAGATACTTTCCCTTTTCTGTAGAGATACTTTCCCATTCTGTACAGATACTTTCCCATTCTGTAGAGATACTTTCCCATTATGTACAGATACTTTCCCATTCTGTACAGATACTTTCCCATTCTGTAGAGATACTTTCCTATTCTGTAGAGATGCTTTCTCATTCCGTACAGATACTTTCCCATTCTGTAGAGATGCTTTCTCATTCCGTACAGATACTTTCCCATTCTGTAGAGATAATTTCCCATGTTATACAGATACTTTCCCATTCTGTAGTGATACTTTCTTATTATATACAGATACTTTCCCATTCTGTAGAGTTACTTTCCCATTCTGTAGAGATAATTTCCCATGTTATACAGATACTTTCCCATTCTGTAGAGATACTTTCTCATTATATACAGATACTTTCCCATTCTGTAGAGATACTTTCCCATTCTGTAGAGATACTTTCCCATTATATACACAGATACTTTCCAATTCTGTAGAGTTACTTTCCCATTCTGTTGAGATACTTTCCCTTTCTGTACAGATACTTTCCCATTCTGTAGAGATACTTTCCTATTCGGTACAGATACTTTCCCATTCTGTAGAGATACTTTCCCATTCTGTAGAGATACTTTCCCATTCTGTAGAGATATTTTCCCATTCTGTAGAGATACTTTCCCATTCTGTTCAGATACTTTCCAATTCTGTACAGAAACTTTCTCATTCTGTACAGATACTTTCCCATTCTGTACAGATACTTTCCCATTTTGTACAGATACTTTCCCATTCTGTAGAGATACTTTCCCATTCTGTACAGATACTTTCCCATTCTGTACAGATACTTCCCCATTCTGTACAGATACTTTCCCATTCTATACAGATACTTTCCCATTCTGTACAGATACTTTCCCATTCTGTAGAGATACTTTCCCATTATATACAGATACTTTCCCATTCTGTAGAGATACTTTCCCATTCTGTACAGATACTTTCTCATTCTGTACAGATAGTTTCCCATTCTGTACAGATACTTTCTCATTCTGTACAGATACTTTCCCATTATATACAGATACTTTCCCATTCTGTAGAGATACTTTCCCATTATGTACAGATACTTTCCCATTCTGTACAGATACTTTCCCATTCTGTACAGATACTTTCCCATTCTGTACAGATACTTTCCCATTCTGTACAGATACTTTCCCATTCTGTAGAGATTCTTTCCTATTCTGTAGAGATGCTTTCTCATTCCGTACAGATACTTTCCCATTCTGTAGAGATTCTTTCTGATTATATACAGATACTTTCCCATTCGGTAGAGATACTTTCCCATTCTGTAGAGATACTTTCCCATTCTGTACAGATACTTTCCCATTCTGTACAGATACTTTCCCATTCTGTAGAGATACTTTCCCATTCTGTACAGATACTTTCCCATTCTGTAGAGATACTTTCCCATTCTTTAGAGATACTTTCTCATTCTGTACAGATACTTTCCCATTCTGTAGAGATACTTTCCCATTATATACAGATACTTTCCCATTCTGTAGAGATACTTTCCCATTCTGTACAGATACTTTCCCATTCTGTACAGATACTTTCCAATTCTGTAAAGATACTTTCATATTTTGTACAGATACTTTCCGATTCTGTTTAGATACTTTCCCATTATATACAGATACTTTCCCATTCTGTAGAGATACTTTCCCATTCTGTACAGATACTTTCCCATTCTGTACAGATACTTTTCCATTATATACAGATACTTTCCCATTCTGTACAGTTACTTTCTCATTCTGTAAAGATATTTTCCCATTCTGTACAGATACTTTCCCATTTTGTACAGATACTTTCCCATTCTGTACAGATACTTTCCCATTATATACAGATACTTTCCCATTCTGTACAGATACTTTCCCATTCTGTACAGATACTTTCCCATTCTGTACAGATACTTTCCCATTCTGTAGAGATACTTTATCAGATACTTTCTTCTGTACAGATACTTTCCCATTATATACCTTTCCCATTCTGTAGAGATATTTTCCCATTCTGTACAGATACTTTCCCATTTTGTACAGATACTTTCCCATTCTGTACAGTTACTTTCCCATTATATACAGATACTTTCCCATTCTGTACAGATACTTTCCCATTCTGTAGAGATACTTTCCCATTCTATCCAGATATTTTTCCCATTCTGTACAGATACTTTCCCATTCTGTACAGATACTTTCCCATTCTGTACAGATACTTTCCCATTCTGTACAGATACTTTCCCATTCTGTACAGATACTTTCCCATTCTTTAGAGATACTTTCTCATTCTGTACAGATACTTTCCCATTATGTAGAGATATTTTCCCATGTTATACAGATACTTTCCCATTCTGTCTGTACAGATACTTTCCCATTCTGTACAGCTACTTTCCCATTATATAGAGATACTTTCCCATTTTGTACAGATACTTTCCATTCTGTACAGATACTTTCCCATTTTGTAGAGATACTTTCCCATTCTGTACAGATACTTCCCATTCTGTACAGATACTTTCCCATTCTGTACAGATACTTTCTCATTCTGTACAGATACTTTCCCATTATATACAGATACTTTCCCATTCTGTACAGATACTTTCCCATTCTGTAGGCTAGCAACACAATCATATATAAATTTGTATCCTATGTACAATTTGATATCTAGTGACATTGCATTTACAATGTAGTTGAAGATTTTCTTCATAAATCTTACATATTGAAATTGAGGCCTTCCTTAATAATCATGCATCTTAAAAGCACGTTCAGCAATTAAAAGAGGATTGGAATGAAATCATGATTATCGTGACAATATATATAGTGAACTAATATTTCCGTTGATAAGGAGATAAAATATATTTCCAAGCCACATTCCTTGTTAGACTCCATTCCTTGCTCTGTACCACAAGTATTTGCAGAAGGGTCGCTATGTAATTATTACTACGCCATTTCGTTTCGTTTTAAGTTTGAAGTTGTTTTGAGATTCCCCTTCTACCCGGATACGAGATTACATTTTGTTCCCCTCTGCTTATCGCAATATATACTTTAATGTCCAGACTAAGTATCGACATCTCGAAGCTACAGTCCAGGTAAGGTAAACACTGATGCTATCCTGAAGACGTAACCTTACACGGTATAAATGCCGTTCAAAGACGCATGAAACAGCCCGCTGCAGCAGAACTGCACTTAACCATGAAAAAGTGTTGTTTATCACAAATTCTCCGTAAAGGTAATTAAACAGTTTACTCACTGAGGATAATCTTTTACGTGTAACTGAACGTCGATAAATGTGATACGGTTTTCAGGTCCTTGAGGTAGCATACCCTTAAAAAGAATACCTCAAGTAACTGCACGATGAAATAAGAATACGGAACTTTGCGGATAAACTTAGGTTTTCCCTGTGTTATATGTTGTTTTAGACATATTCTATTTTATATTGTATCCAAAAATGAATATCAAGCTAATAGTATTAATCGTTTCCGTCTCTCTTTTTATTGTTTTATGCAGAACATGTATGTCTGAAGACGAGTTAAGTTGTTTGAAAACATTCAAAACCTAGATATTTTCTTCCTTGTCATTTTTAATTAGATTTTATTTAATTATATTATTTACATCGCGTGAAAATAAAGAACTTATCCTTTATCTTTTCTTACCTGGCTACTTTTTCTTTCTTCAATGTCTACTTTTTCCTAACGCTGTAACAACTATAGAAAGTCTGATGTGGTGACGTTATAACGGCTGTAGTAAGTCTGATGTGAAATTTAATCAGAATTGTTCACCATTGATAACATTTTTTTTTTTTTTTTTTTTTTTTGAGATTTCGTTACGTTTCGGTTGACACATTAAGCTGTGTATCTTGCAAATCTTAATTTAGATTTTGATGAAAAATCAGTATTGTTTTGCCTAAATTGTAGTCCCAAATCTCCATTTAATTGACTTTTTATACTCTTATTATGCGTTATTTTTATTGTGGTTGAGAGATTTTGTGTAGAAAAATTTAGTATGAAATGTGGACTAAGCAACTCTTACACAACTTTTGGTCTCTTCCAGGTTCCATTTTCATTAGAAACAAAGAAAAAAATTAATATTGTGACAAAATTTCTATCTTGCAGAGTTAAGTTTAAGACCACTGTTGCATTGCATTATGGGAAAGAAGTGAAGATCCTATGGGCTTAAGAACAATCCGGGTAACATGTGTGTATACAAACACTTTAGTGTGTGTTTTCAGGGTTTGATATTGCGAGTCTGAACCTCAGGGTGATACACATTAACAGATGGCTGAAAAGTTCACGTTGATGTCTAACCTTATGTATCACCACTTATGTTTTACAGATGTTATTTGTATTCTCCTTGGAGTAAGTGTGGGACTCAATTTTATCATGATATGGTCATGTCACTTTACCGGAACAGGATCCAGGAACCACTCTCTGATGTTAAAGAAGGAAAACCGCAAATTATATATATGCCCATATTTCCGAGGAGGTCTCGGAAATTTAATGTTTCAATACGCGTCTGTTTATGGAATTTCTAGAACTAATAACATCGAAATAGGATTATATCCTGATGATGAACTTTATAATATATTTGAACTCATACCGCCAACACTGTCAGACAGAAAGGTTTATTCAAAGGCTCGGCAATATATAGGAAGTATCAGGGATTGCGCATATGATGTTAGCAATGTACGAATACCCCAAGACAGCAATATTGTACATTTATCTTTCTTACAATCATGGAAATACTTTGATGATGTTCGAAATGATATCAGACAGCATTTTACTTTTAAAAAGGAAATCAGGAAACAAGCTCACGACTTGATCAATACAACTTTGTTGAGAACACAATTTTCGATTAATAGCAAAGCAACTCTTGTTGGAATTCACATACGAAGAGGAGATTATCTGAACAAAGACAAGAGAAAGTTTGGTTACCGTGTGGCGGATAAGGAGTATTTCAAGCGAACAATGAGTTTTTTTCGCTCCAAATATGGAAATGTATTATTTTTGGTATTCACAAATCCAGTTGACGATGATATGATGTGGTGCAAGTCGAACTTGAAAGGAAATGACGTTGTCTATATGTTCGGAAACTCTCGGGGAGTGGACCTCTGCATTTTGACACTTTGTGATCATGTGATTACTAGTGTTGGGACATTTGGATGGTGGGCGGCGTTTTTGAACAACGGAACAAAAACATACTTTCGTAATTTTGTAACCCCGGGGTCGGATTATGAACAATGTTTTATGGATAATGGGTTTGATTACTTGTATCCAGGATGGTACGGCTTTTAATCACACTCAGTCAAAAATCCTGTATAACTTTCCTTGGTATGAAATTTAAAAACATTGCAGCAAAACCTTATTCTTTCCGTCTTAGTTTCTAAACAAAAATCATACAAACAGACCATATAACACAACACAAAACATATGTATCATTGCCTAATTATCAACATAAAAACCAAAAACCGTGTTCAGGTGAAACTCCCGAGTTGGCCAAAGTGATGTTGTAGTTTTTTTTTATGTATACGGCTTTGGTAAGTTCCGACAAAACGGAAAACTCCTTAATGGTGAAAAGAGACGCACAACTTACACTAGATTTTGCCAGTGATGTTTAAGGGCCTCAACGCAACTTTTGAAGAAGATTATTTCTTAACTGTTCAGAAAGTTCCCCACTGCCTGTAGGCCATCATCTCACCGAAAGTGGGTTTCGATTTTTTTTTTTTTATTTTCAATTTTGGAAATAGATGAAAGTCTAATCCACAATGGTTAATGGCAGCCTTGGCAATGACAGACTTGTGGACAGGGGCATTGTCCTAGGTGGAACAACACACTTTTACTGAGTTTTTAAGTGATGAATAATACGTGCCATTGATTGTCTGTCCGTTTTGCAGATAATCTACCATAAGAATACCATCGGCATCCAAGAAAACCGAGGCCATAACCTTTCCAGCTGATGAAACAGCCAACTGATGGACACACGTTTCATCCATAGTCACAAATCTCTGCAGAATGTTAGCAGGATCTACCTCTAAAAGTTCAGATTAGCACATGACAAAGCCTGCCTGTTGTTTTTTTGATCAACTGATAAAAGTCTTGGTACCCCGCGGGCTGATAGATTTTCCATTGCAAGAACTTCTGTAAGAATGGTATTTACTCTTTTCTATGAAATCCCAACTGTACTGGCTATATGTCTCTCTTTAACTCACCTGTCAGCCTTAACGATTATTGTGGAATTCATTTACTATTTCTGGGGTTGAAACTTTGAGAGGCCTTTCAAGCCGGGCGTCATCCCTAAGTGTTCTCCGGTGCTACACCTGTCTTATGCAAATATTGAACCACTGCTCTTTCAGCGATTTTGTCCATTTTGGAAAAGTCACTTGTCTTGTTTACATTAGAGTGCTACCTCTTCGACATAAACTCACCAAATGACACCAGTCTTCGGGTACATAGTGTTAAATAGTCAGAGAATAGCAGAGCTGAAAACGGACATCCTCGCTTCACTTCTTTAATACAAGGTGCACATTATCACACATGAAAAGGGAAAATTCTATTTCGTCATGAGGTGTTCCGAAAGCATTTCGAGACATTGCATTGAAACACTTGGTCTTATTCACCTTTTAACTTTTCCATGAGTCTCCGTGTAAAAGGTTCTTTTGTTCTTATTTTGCCTGAGTTTCATCGACTTTGTGTTTGAATTACCATTCGGTTAAAAATGTCGGTAATGTGTTTTCTTGATGTTCTAGTCTAGGAGTAATCCTGAAATGGAAACATGTTCGAGTTAGAGAAACAAAATGATTTAATGTAAACAAGATTGAAAACCCTAAATAAATGGATTAAAAACTGGATTAAACACAAATATTTAATGAAAATCAGAATGACACAAATGAATATTAAATAAAAATTGGATTGATCAACAGAGATATTTGAATAGAAACAAGTTTGAAAACAAAAATATTTGATGGAAACAAGATTGACAAACAGAAATATTTGAATAGAAGTAAGATTGAATACAGAAATATTTTAATAAAAACAACAATATTTGATGGAAACAAGATTGAAAACAGATTTGAATAGAAAAAAAAAATGATTGACAAACAGAAATATTAGATGGAAACTAGATTGTAAACAAAAATATTTGAATAGAAACAACATTGAATACAGCAATATTTTATGTAAACAAAATTGAAAAACAGAAATATATTTAATGGAAACTATATTGACAAACAGAAATATTTGATGGCAAATGTATTGACTAAATATTTTGATGGAAACAAATTAACAAAACAAAAACAAAACAAAGAAGGGATAGAGACATATTTCAATGCATAGATTGGAAAACGGAAGTGGGCGGAAAATCATAACTTTAAAAGTCGATAGAGATAAAGAAATGCACATGATGATTACATGGTATTGTATTTCTGAAACAGATAAACTGATATTTGTTTTTCTTCTCTAAAGTCGACCTTTGTATAACATTCGAGTGTAAGTCAAGATTCACATACCTTACTACAGGTCAGAATTTATCCTGTTTTATCTAGCTGATAACGAACAAATCGATTATGGGTTTGACTCTGGCCTCAGTGTGTACAGACATGAATCACCTGTAAATATCTCACCTGCACAAATACCACAGTTGCTAACCATGTCTATAACTAATCTGTGTACACATTCGAGATGACTTTGACCCTCAGCGACAATGCACTGTTCGTAAAAAATACTTGATTCATAACTTGATAAATGTATGTATATGAATTATGCATTTAGTAATTTACTTATTTTTGAATAGCAATCTCATCATTATGCCAGAGAAAATAATGGAATAAGAAAGCGTCTATAAACTATTAACCAATACATATGTATGAATAAGGCCGTGTTTAAAACATATATTGCTGTTATTGGTTGATCCAGAATTACAAATGATCACCTTTAGTTACACTAATTAATTTGTTTATTTTGATCCAACGTCAGTGAAAGACATGATGACATCAGTATACGTAATCTTTGTAGAACAGTGTGTTGCTTCCAGGCATGTTTACATAGGGAAGATTAGAGGTCAGTGGTTGAATGGTGTCGCCCTGACGTGTAGCGATGTCGGCCTTCGTGTCACCATATTGTGTAATCTCATAGTTATATTCTAATGACTTAGATGTTACCGTCACGCAAGCAAGCGAGAGACATTTATTTCTAAAGGTATGTATTTTTTGGTATTTTTTTTATGTTAACACGTTTTTATGGAATAAATTGTAAATGTATGTCGCAATAAGGTTTTTGCATGATAGGACACATGAGTAGGATAATCCTGAACATTCAAAGTTTGTTCTAAAAAAATGAAATAATAACGATAATTTTGTTGTAGAAAGTTCTTACAAGTGTTTGATTTTCTTAGATAATTTCCTCAACATATCCCTTCTTACACGTAGTAATATCATACGGCTTTACCTGGTTATGAGGTCAACCAATACTACTTATCTAATACAACTTGGTTGTCTAAATGTATTAAAGATGAAGTGAAAATAAAAAATCTTCAAGTGTAACTAGACAGGAGAATCTTTATTCGTTATCGGGGGATTTAATAAGAGGCATTTAAATACTCCACGTATAAAGAAAGTTGTTTCGAATGTACAACATCAGTAAGACAAAATGATACATTGTTGAAAACAACAAATGGAGGATAATTTCTTCATTACTAACCAGAAAAAATATGTTCTTTACTTTTCATATCCACCGTTACAATAAAGATTATATTTATAAATTGTTTTGAAAAATAGCATCAAGGTCCAATCTCTTGCCCCATACAAAAGAAAAAAAGATACTACAAAAGCAAAAAAAAAAAAAAAAAAAAATTAATTAACAACTCGCATTTAAAAACTTAATTCCTTATTTAGATATCTTCTATACTTGTTTAAATATAGTGTAGTCACAAAAAACAAGGAAAATACACTGTACTTCTCCTAATTTTTCCTTCTCAGAACATGTGATAATTTCCATTGAACAATAGTCTAGTTAGATTTCTGGAACATACTTTTCAGCGTATTCAACAGAATAGCAATATGTATCATTTGAAATCATGCACATTGCCATGTAACAATATTAAAATGAGCATCGACACATTTATTAGGGACCGTATAACTGATGATGATTATTTGCTACCCATATGACCAGTACAGGTGACTATACGTATCAAGCAACGTATGATAGTTTTTGAGTTTTTGTCTTATTGTGTGAGTCATTTACAACAAGTATAAAGTATGTATGGTTTGTCTCCTTTAAAATATAACATATTCTGATCTATAATCATATGTACGTAGGATTTCACATTGAAGATAACATATAAAACATCAATTAAATCATCACAACACGTGGTTACGGTAGAGCATGATGACAATCAGTTGTTGTTAACAGATTCTACGAGAAAAGGTGTCGTTTCTTAATTCAAATCATGTTGATAGGTCATTTAAAATTAACCGCCATCTTATGGTTTCTAGTCGTGTGCATGCGAGCGCGAGTTAGTGAGAACTTGTCAAATGGAAAATGCGAAAGTAATTCTTATTGTAATGTCCAGAACATGAGATGCGCTATCCATCTTATAACTATTTATTTTGTGTTTATCATGCGAATTAAATGCTTAAAATACTTAACCACTATTACCATGTTATATATGCGACGTACATCTTGTGTGTTAATGTACTTGCTTACATAAATTTGTTCTTGTGTATGTTTGTTGTTTTATATTAAGACCTCATTTAATATAACTCGTGACGGGACACTGATAATTCAAACCTGAATTTCTATACTATTTAAGAAAGAACTTTAATGAGGAGAAATGAAAATAATAATAATAAAAAAAGTCTAGCTATATGGTCAGCTGTCAAAAGGCCAAGCATGTAATGTGCAATTAGATAAAACATGCCTATAGACATCTAGAAACAGACACCAGATATATCTACACAAGATAGTAGATTTCGTAATAGAAATCTAGAAACAGACACCAGATATACATACAAAAGGTAGTAGATTGCGTCATAGACATCTAAAAACTGACACCAGATATATATATACAAAGGATGGTAGATTACGTCACCGACATCCAGAAACAGATATCAGATATATATACACAAGATAATAGATTACGTCATAGACATCTAGAAACTGACACCAGATATATATATATACCCAGGAGAGTGTATAAGGCCATAGACATTTAGAAACAGAAACCAGATATATATACACAGGGTAGTAGATTATGTCATAGACATCAAGAAACAGACACCAGGCCCCACATGTATAAAACATCTCAACTTGAGATTTCCTCAAGTCGAGATTTTCCTCAGCTGATATCTCCTCAAAAACGGCTTGTATAAAAGGAACAGGACGAAGTTATCGGCTAGGATGTCCTGAAATTCCTTGAGGAATTTTCATACAAGATATTTTCAAGGAGATATCAGCTGGAGAAAATCTCGACTTGAGGAAATCTCAAGTTGAGATGTTTTATACAAGTCGGGCCAGATATATATACACAGGGTAGTAGATTACGTCATAGACATCTAAAAACAGGGATCAGATATATACAGTCAGGATAATAGATTACGTCATAGACATCTAGAAACAGACACGAGATATATATACACAGGGCAGTAGATTACGTCATAGACATCAAGAAACATACACCAGATATATATACACACGGTAGTAAATTGCGTCATATATATCTAGAAACAGACACCAGATATGTATACACAAGAAAGTAGATTACGTCAAAGACATCTAGAAACTGGCACCAGATATATATACACATGGTAGTAGATTACGTCATAGACATCTAGAAACAGAAACCAGATATATATACACAGGAAAGTAGATTACGTCAAAGACATCTAGAAACTGGCACCAGATATATATACACAGGGTAGTAGATTACGTAATAGACATCTAGAAACAGACACCAGATATGTATACACAGGAGAGTAGATTACGTCTTAGATATTTAGAAACAGACACCTGATATATACACAAGATAGTAGATTACGTCATAGACATCTAGAAACAGAAACCAGATATATATACATAGGATGGTAGATTACGTCATAGACATCTAGAAACTGACACCAGATATATATACCCAAGAGAGTAGATAAGGTCATAAACATCTAGAAACAGAAACCAGATATATATGCTAACAAGAAAAAGAAATGCCGGGTACACTAAATATACTACGAAGTGGACGTCCGCTCGTCACGACGCCACATCAGGATCGGTTTATAAGACTTTCTCACATACGTAATCGCCATCTCACAGCTACCGAAACTGCAAATAACACTCTTGGCAGTCATAACCGCCATATTCATCCTGATACGGTTCGAAACCGATTACGCGTCAATGGCCTAAGAGCCCAACGTCCCTATGTTGGTCAGCCCCTAACTCCTTCGCGTCGCCAACGCCGATTGGCTTGGTTACAAGCACACTCGCCCAGAAATTTTCCTATGAGGCAATGGAGACGGGTATTCTTCACTGACGAATCCCTGTTCACTCTCTACCTTTCGGACGGGCGACTTCGTGTATATCGACGTCGAGGGGAACGTTACACCGACGCGTGCGTCGCTGAGCGGGATAGGTTTGGCGGTGATTCAGTATGTGTTTGGGGCGGTATCTCCTATGGGTTTAAATCACCACTGACCTGATATTCCAGCAAGACAATGCCCGGCCCCATGTCGCTAGAGTTTGTCAGCAATTTCTTGCCAACAATAACGTAATCCCAATCGATTGGCCAGCATTCAGTCCAGATTTGTCTCCAATTGAGCATTTGTGGGACGAATTGGATATGAGAGTTAGGAGACGTCCAAATGCCCCCACTAATCTGGTCCAGCTCACACGTGCCTTGCATGAAAAATGGAATAACATCCCCATTGCAAGGGTTAACACCCTGATGAATTACATGCATAGAAGAATCAGGGCTGCGACAGCTCCGCATGGAGGACACACAAGATACTGAAATGTCCGGCTGTGTTGCGCAATACAAGTAGGGTCATCGCTAAAAGGGGGATATTATTGGCATAATTAGAATTCATAATCGACAGAACCTTCAACAAATGGTTCCAAACGGATGAAATTGTATACAAAAATGAATGAAATAATGTAACATTAAATTATATAATTTAAAAGAATGTTTTTACACGGCGTTTCTTTTTCGTTTTAGTATATAATAAGGTTAGAGTTATATGGAGTTGGGTACCTCAGTCATGACGTATAATACGGTTAGAGTTAGAAATGGAATTGGGTAGATCAGTAATGATGTATAATAAGGTTAGAGTTAGATAGGGAGTTGGTTAGGTCAGTGATGGCGTACAATAAGAATAATTATGGAGCTGGGTAGATCAGTGATGATGTATGATAACGTTAGAGTTAGATATGGAGCTGGGTAGATCGGTGATGATATATACTAAGGATTCAGATAGATGTGGAGTTCGGTAGATCAGCGATGTTGTATAATAAGGTTAGAGTAAGACATGGAGTTGGATAGATCAGTGATGACGTACAAGAAGGATAAATATGGAGCTGGATAGATCAGTGATGACGTATAATAACGTTAGAGGTAGATATGGAGTTAGGTAGATAAGTGATGCCGTATAATCAGGTTAGGGTTAGACATGGAGTTAAGTATATCAGTGATTATGTATAATAATGTTAGATATGTAGCTGGGTAGATCAGTGATGTCGTATAATAAGGTTATAGTTATATTTGGATTTGGGTAGATCTGTGATGACGTATAATAAGGTAAGATTGAGACATGGAGTTTGATATATCAGTGATGCCGTATAATAAGGTTAGATATGGAGCTGGGTAGATCAGTGATGATGTATAATCAAGTTAGAGTTAGATTTGGAGCTGGGTAGATCAGTGATGATGTATAATCAGGTTAGATTAGATATGGAGATGGGTAGATCAGTGATGATGTATAATAATGTTAGAATTATATGGAGTTGGTTAGCTTAGTGATGACATATAATAAGGTTAGAGTTAGAAATGGAATTGGGTAGATCAGTAATGATGTACAATACGGTTAGAGTTAGATAGGGAGTTGGTTAAGTCAGTGATGACGTACAATAAGGATAATTATGGAGCTGGGTAGATCAGTGATGATGTATAATAAGGTTAGATATGGAGTTGGGTAGATCAGTGATGATGTATAATAAGGTTAGAGTTAGATATGGAGTTGGGTAGATCAATGATGATGTATAATAAGGTTAGAGTTAGATATGGAGCTGAGTAGATTAGTGATGACGTATAATGAGGTTACAGTTACATATGGAACTCGGTAGATATGTGATGATGTATAATAAAATTAGAGATAGATATGGAGCTGGGTGATCAGTGATGATGTTTAATAAGGTTAGAGTTAGATAAGGAGCTGGGTAGATCAGTGATGATGTATAATAAGGATTGAGTTAGATGTAGAGTTGGGTAGATCAGCGATGTTGTATAATAAGGATAGAGTTAGATATGGAGCTGGATAGATCAGTGATGACGTAAAATAATGTTAGATGTAGATATGGAATTAGGTAGATAATTGATGATGTTTAATAAGGTTAGAGGTAAATATGAAGTTGGGTAGATCAGTGATGATGTTTAATAAGGTTAGATATGAAGCTGGGTAGATCAGTGATTAGGTATAATAAGGTTAGATATGGAGTTGGGTAGATCAGTGATAACGTCTAATAAGGAAAGAGTTAGATATGGAGCTGAGTTGATCAATGATTACGTATAATATGGTTAGAGTTAGATATAGACCTTGGTAGATAAGCGATGATGTATAATAAGGTTAGAGTTAGATATGGAGTTGGGTAGATCAGTTATGATGTATATTAAGGTTAGGGTTAGATATTGAGTTGGGTAGATCAGTGATGATGTATAATAAGGTTAGGGTTAGATATGGAGTTGGTTAGTTCAGTGATGACGTACAATAAGGATAATTATGGAGCTGGATAGCTCAGTGATGACGTGTAATAAGGTTTGAGTTAGATATGGAGTTGGATAGATCAGTGATGACGTATAATAAGGTTAAAGTTAGATATGGAGTTTGGATATCAGTGATGCTGTTAAGTAACTCTATATACCCTGATTAGAAAGTAATGAGACAAAAATATACGGTTATTATGTCTGTAACGGTGTTATAACATATACTTATAGATCGACTCTAATTAAATTGTATTTACATTTTTGAATCATCAATCAACATTAAATTAAAATGATTAGATTTAATGAAATGGTGTCATTATCAAAACTTGTCTGTTTTAAAGCTTACTATTTCAACCAAAAGTTATTTTATGTGCATTTCCTTTATAATATCAACGTTGTGAAAGCATCCCAAATAGCGATTATGTGTCAGTTACATTTTTTCTTCCAATTTTTCCAGGTTCCTAAACAGAGAGGGAACTATGCACATACCTAAATATGAATCCGCGACGATTTAGTGGTAAGTAGAGATTCCTACAACTATAATGATACCTCTAGAAATATCATGATATCACGTTATTGGCGGGTTAACAGAAAACCCATTCCTGTCCCCATTCTCTTCATGGAACTTTCGTTTAAGATGATATCAAACTAAATCAAATCTTTTCTATATTAACTCACTCATCCCTCTCTTCTATCTAACTCGTTTATCCCTTTCTTCTGTATTAACTCACTCATCCCATTTGCCTATATTTACTCAATCATCCATCTCTTCTATCTAATTCACCCATCCCTGTTTTCTACCTTAAACTCATTCATCCCTCTCTTCTATACCAACTCACTCAACCCTCTCTTTTATCTAACTCACTCATCCCTTTCTTATATATCAACTCATTCATTCTTCTCCTCCATATCTACTTACTCAAGCTTCTCCTGTATTTAACTCACTCATCCCTCTCTTCAATCTAAGTCACTCATCCCTCTATACTATATTAACTCACTCATCTCTCTCTTCTAAATTTACTCACTAATCCATATCTTATATATCAACTCACTGATTCTTCTCTTTTATATCAACTCACTCAACCCTCTCTACTATTTAACTCACTCATCCCGCTATTCTATATTAACTCACTCATCAATCTCTTCTATATTTAATCACTAATCCCTTTCTTCTATCTTTCTCATTCATCCTTCTCTTCTTTACCAACTCACTCATCTCTCTCTTCTATATTTACTCACCAATCCATCTTTTATATATCAACTCACTCATTCTTCTCTTTTATATCAACTCACTCAACCCTCTCTACTATTTAACTCACTCATCCCTCTATTCTATATTAATTCAATCATCCCTTACTTATATATAACTCATTCATCCCTTTCTTCTATCTATCTCATTCATCCCTCACTTCTATCAAACTCACTCATCCCTCACTTCTATCAAACTCACTCATCCCTGACTTCTATCTAACTCACTCATCCCTCACTTCTATTAAACTCACTCATCCCTCACTTCTATCTAACTCACTCATCCCTCACTTCTATCAAACTCACTCATCCCTCACTTCTATGTAACTCACTCATCCCGCTGAGATATCTTAACTTAATTATCCCTCTCTTCTATCTTATTCGCTATTCATTGTCTTCTATCAAAATCACCCATCCTTCTCTTCTTTATTAAATCACTCATCCCTCTCTTCTATATTAAAGCACTCAACCCTCTCTTCTATCTAACTCATTCGTTCCTTTTTTCTCTATTAACTCACTCATCCCTCTCTTCTATCAAACACACCCATCCCTCTCTTCTATCTAACTCATTCATCCCTTTCCTCTATCTAACTCATTTATCCCTATCTTATAAATTAACTCACTCATCCCTCTCTTCTTTCTAACTCACACATCACTTTCTTCTATCTAACTCACTCATCCCTCTCTTCTATCTAACTCATTCATCCCTCTCTTCTATCTAACTCATTCATCCCTCTCTTCTGCATTAACTCTGCCATCCCTCTCTTCTATCAAAATCACCAATCCCTCTATTCTATATTTACTCACTCATCACTCTTTTCTATCAAACTCACCACTCTCTCTCTTATATCTAACTCACCAACCCCTCTCTTCTATATTAAGTCACTCATCCCTCTCTTCTACCTAACTCGCTCATCCCTTTTTACTATAAATACTCAATCATCCCTCACTTCTATCAAACTCTTCCATCCCTCTCTTCTATCTAACTCACCAATCCCTCCTTTCTATGTAACTCATTCATCCCTCTCTTCTATCTAACTCATTCATCCCTCTCTTCTGCATTAACTCTGCCATCCCTCTCTGCTATCAAAATCACCAATCCCTCTATTCTATATTTAGTCACTCATCACTCTTTTCTATCAAACTCACCACTCTCTCTCTCTCTTTATATCTAACTCACCAACCCCTCTCTTCTATATTAAGTCACTCATCCCTCTCTTCTACCTAACTCGCTCATCCCTTTTTTCTATAAATACTCACTCATCCCTCACTTCTATCAAACTCTTCCATACCTCTCTTTTATCTAACTCACCCATCCCTCCTTTCTATGTAACTCATTCATCCCTCTCTTCTATCTAACTCACCCATCCCTCTCATTTACCTAACTCATTCATCCCTATCTTGTATATTAACTCAC